TTCCTGGAATGTGCAACAAAAAGTCAAAAAACCAAAAGCAAGAGAAGATTCCACGTCAGCATAAATCAAGCTGACTCGACATTCAAACAACAGTCAATTGTGGATAACCAAACGGCGTGTGTGGAGATAACGGCGATAAAAGCGGCATGTTCAGAAGCTCCGTGAAGTCCCACTCATCTATCGCCGCCTCAACTTTAACGGCGTTAGTCTCCTCCTCCTCTTTCTTTGGCACTTTCTTCACAACCACCGTCGCTTCCTCCACCTCGGAGTCTAAACGCTGCTTGGTCAAAAGCTCTAGCCGCTTCAATTAATCGCGGTTTCAAACGTCCCGAGCCAAACTCTAGTTCCACGATCGCGAATATCCGCAGCGAATTTCCCCTACGGCGGCCTCATCCTTACTCCTCTGTTATGCCTCTTCTCTTCTTCTTCGACTACTAACGGTTCCGGTTTAGGATTGGATCCACTCAGTGGTTGTTCTGCTCGGCGGTGCGATCTTCAACGGCGGTTTCCGATTAATCGATTGGAAAGTAAAAGAATCATTCGATATGGCATGTTGTGATTTTCTCTTGTTAATAGATGGAATCCATTAGTTATCGAGACATAATTGATGCATAGAATTATACATGCCATGTTAAGATTAAAACGTGATAGAAGCATGACCAACTCTTAAAGCATGGATAATTTTATTATCTAACGTATAACTATGATCATGATGCGATGACCATAATTTATTAAACACATGCGGCACTAACCTCGACCGTAATGGAGATCTCGATTGGAGACGGATCTCTCCAAACTTTCGATAACGCTCTCCAAATTTTCGATAACGCATTGAGTTATGACTGAGACAACGTCTTTGCTCAAACGGTCCGAACGTCTCCATCGGCTAGACTTTTATTTTTCAACAAAGAAAATATATTTGAATCTGCCAATAAAATATGATCGACTGTAGTAAGTTAATAAGCATGATTTAAAACTAGAGTCGGTCATTCTAAAAGACGAGGCACTTATCTGGATTGATAATTGGATATATAAGACGTTATCAACACGAAACCTTAACTGTTTGAGCACGAAACCCTAGTCGTATTAGAAAAAAAAAAAAACCTATAATGGTCGAGATAAGTAGATTTCATGATTTATTATGTTACAGGAAAGGAGAAGAGGGTAAATAAAAAGAAGTGGAAGGAATTAAGGGACTAAAGTGCAAATAAAGAAATAAAAAAGAGAAGCCAATACAAAAAGGACACGTGTGGAGTAAAGCAAATGAGATGAAGAACAGATATACTCGAAGCTTCTTCTTCTTCATTTTTCATGGATTCAATTCGTTGATTTGTAACAACTTTTCCTCTCAAATTCGTTGGGTTTTCCAGATTGTAAATCTTCTTTGTGCTAATTCGTTTCTCATTTGAGGGATTAGCCATTATAAGTGTCAATTCTTTGTTCTAATAAACATTGAGTTGATTTGGTTTGTTTTGGTGACAAATCCTTCTACAAATTCCGTTATTATATTAATCTACTTATGCTATCGAACATTTAAATTAAGATCGAGTATTGTTTTACTAGCAACCTGCTTTCATAAAGCATGAGAACATGCTTCCCTAGTCGATATAATCTGCATATTGCTTCAATATTGACTTTTGCTTAATATGTTTTCATGTATCATGATTTACTGTTTAAAGTTTATTTGATATATAATTTTCGAATCATGATTTATCGATCTGTGTTTAATTACTTACCTTGGAATCTTTGTATACGATGTGATATCGCATGTAATTGATGTGCTTTATTAATTAAATATAGTATAGGCTACCACGTAGATCGACTATGAATGTTGATGGTTTTGATTATTCGATTTGAAAAGAAAAATCTGTTGAACTGATCAAATTAACTTGGCTTAATAATTGGACTCATGTTTTTACTAATAAAATTCTGATGCATNGTTATAAAATACATATATACTAATTGATACATAAATCANTTCATGATTCTTATTATCTTGGAGAGATGTGAAGTTTTATGTCTAAATAATAATTAGATTTGTTCAGGATGTATGCATGGTTGCTTTATCATTAGCGATATATGATTTCTTTTATAGTTTGAATATCATAATTTGAGATTTGTTGGTTTGGTTATTTTGATAGTCCGAAAGGTGGATATCATTGATTTGGAGAGACTTCCGTCGAAATCTTTAACCAACTTTTCTGATGCAGTTTCCAACTTCATTCGCGAATTATCTCCAAAGTCGTCTAAATTCCATCGAGATAAATAAAAATAAAATCTTTAGAATCATACTTTATTGAATTATAAACTGACTCATGCTCAGCAACTAATCATTTAATTATGACCTCATTACCAATTTGTATTTTATTAGTCTAAACGGTTTGGTAATTCGCTTGTTTGAATTGGTTAGAGTTGGTTTATAGAATCGTTGGTTTCAATAATTGGTTTACATTGGTTCGATTATTTGCAAATCACTTATTTGGTATTCTCATAATGAATATAATTAATGTTTTTATAATATGGCGAATTTATTTATTGAAAATTAGTTTAATGAATGATTTCTTATTATTATGGGAAATTAGACTCTATATTATTTATTGGCTCCATATTTAATTATCTAATATCAAATAAAACAAAATTTTGTAATTACATTCTAATTACCTGAGATTCCAATTTTATCATTAATATATTTATGGTAAGTAATCTCATATCTCATTTTAATTATTATCTCATTTAATACATTTTTCATATCAATTTTCTTCTCTCTCATGTCCAAAGAATGATTAAAATAAATAATATTCTTATTTTTTTGCAGTATTAGAAAAAAAAAACAATAACTAACATCATAAAGGTTAAGAATTTTCATTTCTATTAATTATATGTTTAGTTAACTATGTATCTAAATATAGTTATCTAAATTTTTCATTTCTATTAGTTATATAGTTAACTATGTACTCAAATATACTTATTTTTATACTTAATTTTATTCACAAAAGTCAACTATATTTGTTATATTTATGAATAGTTCACTATTATCTACTCTCTCTTAGTGTATAAATGAGTATATAGTAAATATATAACTAACTATATTTTTAAATATAATTACTTGTATATATTTATGTGTATATATTTATATAGTTATTTTTTTCACAAATAGTCAACTATACTAGTTATATTAACGAATTGTTCACTATTATCTATATATTTAGAAATATATAGCTATTCATATACACATGTATAGTTAGCTATATATAAACATATAATTGTCTATCTAGTTAACTTTATTCACAAACAATCAACTATACTTATTATCGATACAAAAGGTCCAGGGTGGTAGAGTAGTCGCAATCACCGTTGAGCAAGAGAAGAATGTCTCCACCATTTCTATCAACAATGTCACCAATCATTGCTCTAACCAGGACACAGTTAGGTGCATCAACCTTGTCTTCTTCTAAAGGGTCAGCACGAAGATTGAGATCAGCTTCACACTTCTTGCACTAGTGTGGACGCTCGAGAGAATGTATGAGCACGATCTCACCGCTGTCCCTGAGCTTGTACAGCTGACTTATGTTTTCTGGAGATTGTGAATCCACATCACCCACAACCAAAAGTAGGATATCTTCAGATTCTTATCTACCTTCTCTAGAGCAGCCTGAATATTGATCTTCAGCTCAGATATGGTACACGCATATCGTCTGTGTGAGCTTTGTTGATATCCCAATAGACCCTCACGTCCCGACTCCTCTGGTCATCAGTGAGTACAACTCGGTGAGCTGCAATGTAAGGCCGCAATGGAATCGGATTCCCAGCCATCTGGAGAATACATGGCCACACAAATTAAACAAAATCTGGCAAATAATATATCAAAATGTTTTACTTAAAACTCAGTTTCAAACCCGAATTCATACATCTCTTCATATCAAAATCTGGCAAACCTCAAAACCCCACTACAAATCAAATCCCAAATTGATTTTTTTTCAAACCGTAATTTCAAACCCGATACATATATCAAAATCAAAACCCGACACATCTCCTTTAGAAATCAAAACCCTACTACAATTCAAAACCTGGAACGTGTTTAGAATACATATATCCATGTGGGTGTTCAAGATAATGTGATTTAGTTTCGCGTACTAGGTGGATCGAACCTGAAACGTGTTGGCGTCCCAGTACCGTCTTCTTACCACTTGACCACAGTGTTCTGGAATATAGTTTTGTTTAAAATATTATATTAAAAATATTATAACTATGTTTAGAATAAAACTTTATGACGATATTTATTATTTTGCAACATTTATATTTATTAATGAAACCCATATTTTATGATTTACTACACTTTTATAAAAATTTCAAAATAAATTAATTAAAATTCTATATTACGATAGGTAATATTTTAGTTATATTGATTATTTTGTAGACATTGCTTAAACCTAATCAAGTTATGACGTTAAAAAAAAGTTATTTTTTACGTTTATAAATAGAACAAAAAAATGTTCATTATAATACACATTTTCAAAACACAATAAAATAACTCCTCTCTTGTCTTAATTATTAATTGAGAAATTTCAAAAAATGCCACTTTTTCAAAATTATTTTTAAGATATCGGTTTTACTTC